CACCTGCAGACGAGGGATCGGCAAGGCCTCCACGAAGCCCAAGGCTGGTGCCGACATCAGCAAGTCGTGGCAGACGAGCAGGCTGGTCCGGACAGCGCTGGGGCCTGCGGGACAGAGAGGGGCGGCGGCCAGGTGGCCGGGATGCTGTCTGAACTGCGACGGACCTGGCCGCAGAGAGCCCATGCCAACAGCACGCCTCCCGGGAGCACCGTCAGGGCTCTAACCACGCCTGCGCTCCGTCCACGGGACCAGAGACACGCCCGACCCTGGGAGCACGTCCGGGACAGCCCCTCCGCAGGTGCCCGCTGGGACCCGCCCAGGCTGCATCTTCAGAGGCGAAGCAAATGCCACAGGTCATCTCTGCACCCATTTACGCTGTTAGTAAAGCCAGGAGACCTGAGGCGTACACACACGTACACATGCATGTGCACTTATACACAGGCTCACAGGCACACACACATGTAGACACGCACCCACATGTGCATGCATACACACATGCATGTGGGCACACATGCTCTCACTCAGACACATATGAACGCATACATGTGGGCTCATACGCATGCCCAGGGAGGGAGGTGCTGCCTGTGACCCCGAGGGCCCCGCCCAGGGACTCTCCGCCCTCTGGCTCCGGCTGCCCGCCTTGCCCCAGGGCCCAGCCGTCAAGCTAATGCTGAGAGTCTCGCCCTCCGGATCTGTGGCTAGACCAGCGGTTCTCCACCTTCCTAATGCCGCGACCCTTTAACACAGTTCCTCATGTTGTGGTGACCCCCAACCATAACATTATTTCCGTTGCTACTTCATAACTGTAATGTTGCTACTGTTATGAATCGTGATGTAAATATCTGATATGCAGGATGCATTTTCATTGTTACAAATTGAACATAATTAAAGCATAGTGATTAATCACAAAAACAATATGTAATTATATATGTGTTTTCTGATGGTCTTAGGCGACCCCTGTGAAAGGGTCGTTCGACCCCCAAAGGGGTCGCGACCCACAGGTTGAGAACCGCTGGGCTAGACAGTCCGAACTTTAATCTGATTCTCCACCGATCCAGAGAGCGCCTGACAGATGCAGAGTCCTTGCCCTGACAGAACTGGGCGCACGCGAAACCCTGAGACAGGCTGCGTCCCAGTCCGCACCCCACCCCTCCTCTCCACACGGCTCCCATCTCCACGCACGCCCCTGGCCCCCTGCCCCCGACCCCCCCACACCCCAGTCTCCATCACCCCTCCGCCTGCAGGACCCGCCTTCCCCGCCCGGTTACCTGGTAACATGTGGTGGACAGGCGTGGCTATGTTGATGTCCTGGAGGTGTTTGAGGGTCTCCGTGTGGAACAGGCGCAGCGTGGACCCGGAGGTGAAGGCGATCCAGATCCCCACGCCAGCAATGGCCATGTGCGAGACCACCATGCCCTCCTCCTGGTGGGCCTCCAGCTGGCTCTGCGGGGTCAGGGAGAGGCGATGGGCGGGCATCGGCGGGCAGGGGGCCAGGCTGAACCCGCCTCTGACCCGCGTGGAGCTCTGGGTCCTGCAGCTGACCCGCCCGTGGTGTGTCCTGCTGGAGCCGAGTCCCTGACCAGCACTCCCAGGATCTCCAGCCGGGACCCTCCCTCCAAAGCCAGACGCTCCGAGCAGGTGGGACACACATTAGCCACCAAATGTGTTTTCATGCTTACTGCCCAGAGCAGATCAAAGCCCTCCTGAACTTCACGCTGCTTTCCAGGCACCAAGGCTGAGAAAGCTGCCCTTCGAAGGCACGGCCATGGCTCAGGGGAGAGGAGGGAGCGAGAGGGATGCCTGAGAACAGTCGCCATTGCTGAGGGAGGGGGACCGAGGCCCACCAGTCCCCCCAGCGCCTGAGCAGAAGGGCAGTCCCTTCCTGCTGTGCACCAGCCGTCCTGCCCTCCGCATCAGCACCGCTCCTGGCCTGGGGGCAGGCACCTCTGCTCCTCCAGCAGACCAGCCGCCCCATCCATCCTCACAGCCCTGCCTGGGAAGGTCCCAGTAAGTCTGCTGTGTCCGGCTCCAAAGCTTCTGAATTAGCGATCCCGGGCCTGAACCCCCAGGGGCACCTCCTGCTTCCCAGTAACTTGAGGGCAGTGGGTCTTGTTAAGTAAATAATTAAAATAGAATAAGCATCCTAAGAGGGTCTCTGAGAATAGTCGGAGGAGCCGGGGAGGCGGGGCCTGTGCAGCCCTGGGCTGCGGTTCGCTTCTCAGAGCTGCCAAGTCTAAGTCGCTAACCAGCTGGGACACTGAGCTCCAGGCAGAGCCACAAACACCCAGGGCAGCTGCCCTCTGGACACATGTGGACTTGACCTCCGCTGTGGGTTTGGTCCCCTCATCCGCATATGGAGCTAGCCAATCCTGGGTCACCAGCAGCCATCCTCATCTGCATATGGAGCTAGCCAATCCCGGGTCACCAGCAGCCATCCTCATCTGCATATGGAACTAGACAATCCCTGGTCACCAGCAGCCATCCTCATCTGCATATGGAACTAGCCAATCCCTGGTCACCAGCAGCCACCCTCATCTGCATATGGAACTAGCCAATCCCTGGTCACCAGCAGCCATCCTCATCTGCATATGGAACCAGCCAATCCCTGGTCACCAGCAGCCATCCTCATCTGCATATGGAACTAGCCAATCCCTGGTCACCAGCAGCCATCCTCATCTGCATATGGAACCAGCCAATCCCTGGTCACCAGCAGCCATCCTCATCTGCATATGGAACCAGCCAATCCCTGGTCACCAGCAGCCATCCTCATCTGCATATGGAACTAGCCAATCCCTGGTCACCAGCAGCCATCCTCATCTGCATATGGAACTAGCCAATCCCTGGTCACCAGCAGCCATCCTCATCTGCATATGGAACTAGCCAATCCCTGGTCACCAGCAGCCATCCTCATGTTGTGGTGACCCTGGTTGGGGCATGGGTGGGAAGCAACCAATTGATGTGTGTCTCTCAAATTGATGTTTTTCACTCTCCCTCTTTCTCTCTTTCTCTCTCTCTCTCTCTCTCTCTCTCTCTCTCTCTCTCTCTCTCTCCAAAAATTAATGGGAAAATATCCTTAGATGAGGGTTTAAAAAAAACAAAACGCCACTTCCATCGAAAGCTAACTTTCCAAGGCCCTCGAGGACGTTATGTTCACATTGAGCGCCGTCTTCGCAGGAAACGGCGACAATGACTCAGGGCCAGTGGCTCGACAGGATTGTGGCACTGCCTGGGCATCCCCTTCCTACGGAGTCGGGAGGAATTCCGAGCCTCGGGCAGGGCGAGGGCGCTGCTGCGGAGGGAGGCCCGACCTCCAGCCCTGGAGGGTGATGGGGACCGGACCCTCCTGGGGGCACCTCCCCACTCGGCACCGCCTCTCCCCACCACTCACCCCCACCGCGTGCGTCTCCACGCTGACGATGGAGACCTGGCCTCCCGAGGCCGCCCACAGGGTGTCCTCCGCCGTCAGCAGACTCCGGACCGGCAGCACGCCCAACTTGATCACTTTGTGCGGCTCGGAATCCCAGGATCCGTCTTAAAAGGAAGCATTTCTGTTAATGTCATTCGGATGCAGCGAGCCGGGCACAGGACCGGGGAGCAGGGTCCCGGACGATCCTAAAGAGCAGAGAGCCCCAGCGTCAGCTGTGGCCCGCGGCTCAGGTGGGCCCTGGGGGTCTCGAGTTCCCGGTGGGCACCGTTGTCATGGCAACCTGGTCAGCCGGCCGTGCCCACCCCAGCACAGCCGCTTGGTGTGTCCCGGGAACTTTATTCACCCTCAGCCTCAGTTTCCTCCTCAGCCTGAAAGGCTGTGGTGAGGATCGACAACAATGCAATTAAAAGCCCAGCACAGGCCTGGCAGACAGACGTTCCATGAATACAACCATCTACGTGTATAAAAGGCCAACATGCAAAGTGTCCCCTTGGGAGTTTGACCGGGAGAACGGGAGTTCGATCACTGGCTATGACCTGCGCTGACCACCAGCGGACGGCGTGGACCATGGTGGGTGACCAGTGGTGGCGAGGGAAGGAGGAGGCGAGGAGGCGGGGAGGCGGGAACCTGATCGGCCCTGATGGCCCTGATCGCCGGCCAGGCCTAGGGACCCTATCCATGCATGAATTTCGTGCACCGGGCCTCTAGTTTACAATAATCATATATGTATGACGTGACTTAGTCATCATAAAAGGAATTGTACCCAAAATAATTCAGCAAATGTTTAAATACCCCCATTCCTGCTTTTATTTAAAAATATGCCTTGATATGGACTGTATTACCGGGAGAAAACACATCTCCATGGAAGATGATGAACTTGCTTCAGTCCTGAAACACAGGGGATAGTAAGTATTCTGGCTTCAAAATACTGCCAGAGACCCACCCATGAGGTGTGTCACCTGGTGTATGTGGTGAGGGCCAACAGACAACGTGAAGAGCAATAAAAAATTACGTAAGCCCGGCTGGTGTGGCTCAAGGGTTCAGCGTTGACCTATGAACCAGGAGGTCAGGGTTCGATTCCCCGTCAGGGCACACGCCCAGGTTGTGGGCTCCATCCCCAGTAGTGGGCATGCAGGAGGCAGCCCATCAAGTCTCACTCATCATTGATGTTTCTATCTCTCTCTCCCTCTCCCATCCTCAATAAAATATATTTTATTGATTTCAGAGAGAGGAATGGAGAGGGAGCAAGGGATAGAAACATCAAAGATGAGAGAGAATCACTGATTGGCTGCCTCCTGCTGGGGATGGAGCCCCAAACTGGGGGATGCCCGACCTGGAATCAAACTGTGACCTCCTGGTTCATAGGTCGACACTCAACCACTGAGCCACACTGGCCGGGCAGGGTGGGGAACCTGTGTTCTGCTGAGGCCCATGTGGATATTCATAACATCATGTGTGGGCCATACAAAATGATCAACTTAAAAATGAGCCTGCTCTATGTGGTCAAACATTTAATTAATTCACTCCAATGCCTTGGTAGGGCCAGACCAAATGATTTCATGGGCCTTATATGGCCCGCAGGCCAGATGTCCCGTCCCCCCCCCCCCCCCCAATGCCTCATAGCCTCATAGGAACAGGAGACCAGAGCCCTGGTGGCCCCGAGTCACGGGGAGAAGGCGCCCTCTGCAGGCAACAGCGGCCCCGACAGACCCCACACCTGCGGCACCCGACCTAGGCCTCCCAGCCCCTGAACCACGAGCGTGCGCGTCTGTGGCGTTGGTTGTGGCAGCCGCCTGCCCGCGTGACCCCGTCACCTTGTGCTTTTGCGTAGACGGCCACGGCCCCATCGACCAGGCCCGCGTACAGGTTGCGCGGCGTGCAGGCCAAGCTCATGACCGTGGCCTTGTCGGGGGTGAAGAACTGCTGCAGCCGCACTTTCTTGGCGCCTGGGCTACTTTTGTAGACGGAGATGCTGGAAGAGAAGGGCGGGCCGTGAGCACACCTGCCCGCACGCACAGAGCCTGCGCTGTGGCCGCTGCCCGGGCCACAGCTTTCCACGGGACGCCCACCCCCACTCCTTCCAGAAATTCGAGCTGTGACTTAAAGACTCTATCACTTCGACCTCTTTCTTGCAATTTAAAGGAGAAATGTAGCCCAGCTGGTATGGCTCAGTGGTTGAGCATAAACCTATGAACCAGGAGGTCACAGTTCAATTCCTGGTCAGGGCACAGTCCTGGGTTGTAGGCTCGATCCCCAGTGGGGGCATGCAGGAGGCAGCTGATCAGTGATTCTCCTCATTGATGTTTCTCTCTCCTCTCTCTCTCTCTCTCTCTCTCTCTCTCTCTCTCTCTCTCTTCCTCTCGGAAATCAATAAAAATCTCTTTCATAAAATGAAATAGAGGAGAAATATTGGGCTTCAAAGAAACTAGTCCCTCCGATGTCGGCTGGGAATTCGCGTCAGGAGCCACGTTAGCTTTCCTGAGGCGTGTCCATGGGCATCCATGACAGCGCAGACTGTGGCTGTTTGTCCCCAAACACACGTGGGACCCACACCACCTCCACTTCCCCGCTCGCACCTCACAGGCGGACGTGACCGCTGCCTCGCACTGGCCCAGCGATGGGACTGTGACCAGCGATGGGACTGTGATCGGGGGCGGGATTGGGACCAGGGGGCGACCCACCTTCCTTCCTCGGTCCCCAGGCAGACGGTGGGGATGCCCAGGGCACTCCCGGCCGTGGTCCCGGGCTCCGGGGCGGGGCTGGGCTGGGGGCCCCGCTCGGCGGGCATGTGCACCATGCAGAGAATGCGCGACTCCACGTTGAAGCACTCGATGACTTTGGGGTTGGAGTTGTGGAAGGAGACGATGGCGATCTGGCCCATCTGACCCGTACAACTTCCGATCTGAGCGGGGGGTGGGGGAGGATCAGGAGGGGAGAAACAGGGCGTGATGCACCCACAGCCCCCGGAGACCGGCACTGACCGGGGACCAGGGCCAATGTCCCGGGAGTCGCCACACTCGACAGACCAGGTGGTATTTAAAGGGTCTGCTAACAGAGCCCCCTTTCCACATGATAATTAGGTGGTTTTTCAGCAATAGGTGGGAAGGCCTGGGCTGGGGGCTGGCTGGAGGGGGTCCATGGGGGGAAAAGGGGGACATACCTAATACTTTCACAATAAAGATCTATTTTTTAAAAATTAACAATAAAGATCTATTCAACAATAAAGATCTATTTTTTAAAAATCAGGTTATTTTTCTCTTAATTTGGATAACAAGAACAGAGTTTTGATTTTTTAAATATTCCGTATGCTTTGAAAACCATATACCTCACTCTATACAATGACACTCACACACAATGTAAAGTCTTATGAAGCAGACTCGTATCAACTTTAGGAAATCTCACAGTAGTTTACCAGCCGTTAACTAGGAAAACTGCTTCAAAAGAGAGGGAAGCACCTGGCCGGCGTGGCTCAGTGGCTGAGCATCGACCTAGGAACCAGGAGGTCACGGTTCGATTCCCGGTCAGGGCACAGGCCCAGGTTATGGGCTCGATCCCCAGTGTGGGGCGTGCAGGAGGCACCTGGTCGATGATTCTCTCATCATGGATGTTTCTCTCTCTCTCTCTCTCTCTCTCTCTCTCCCTCCCTCCCTCACTCTCTCCCTCACCCTCTCCCTTCCTCTCTGAAATCAACAAAAGGATTTTTTAAAAATAGCGAGGGAAGCGGTAGGAAGGCCCCAGGTGGCCCGCAGCCTCTGCCTGCCAGGTGCTGTGGCCTTGCCCACGCTGGCCTGCCGCCCAGTCGCCGCGGCCCCTCCTCCCGCTCGCTAGAGCCCAGGGGACACCCGCAAAGTCCCCTCCCCTCCCCTCCCCTCCCCGTACAACTCCCCGACTTAAACTTAAATGCAATTGCCCTTTAGTGGGAGAGTCAGGCCTCGTTAGTACAAGAGCTAACGGAAGGGAGCCGGCTCCCCTGAGCGGGGCTGCGGGTGCGGATGGTTTTCCTTTCGCGGGTTTGGAGATGCTGTGACGCCCTCGCTACACTTCCTGTGTTTCCTGTCACAGACGAGCTTCCTGCTCCACAGCCTTTCCAGAAAGACGGCCGACCACTGGCTCTGGGGCCGGGGGCAGGAGGGCGAGGGGAGTGGGATGGGGGCGGGGTGGGGGGTGGCCAGGAGAGGGAAGGAGGCCTCAGCTGCAGGCCCCATTCATGGAAAAATTCCTCTGAAAGTTCTCACACTCCGAGGGCAACACGCCTGTCTGTCCGGTCATCCAGCCAGGAGGGGAGGGGTCCGGTCAGCGCTGGGCCTTTCTGGACTGGCGCCCGGTAGGACACTGGGGTCCTCACGGGGACACAGGACACCTCAACGTGCACCAACCAGAGAGGCCCTGCCATCATGGCATCATCAGATGCAGTTTCCATGCGGCACCCAGGCACTGAAACTGCTAAGTTCCCAGTAAAAAGCCAGCAATGACCTGGAAGGGGGTGGGGAACCCACACAACTGAACCACCCAGAGGAAACAGCTAAGCGATGCTTGCATTAGTTCCGCTGGCTGTCTGGACTGAATGTAATCGGGCAGCTTCCGAGGAGAAGGAGAGGAGGAAAACATTTTAATCGCTGAGAACCCTACACCATGGCCTGGAAGCAGGGGGGCTCCCGGTCAGGGCCGTGACGACTTCCACGTGTAGACACGGACCCAGGACAGTGCACGTCCAGGTCTGTGACTTCCTGGCCCTCCCACCACACACCTGCCGCCAGGTGCGTGGACACGGGCGGCATCTTACCCACAGGAAGCCCTGGGCGGCGCCTGTCGGGTCCGGCCGGCCCGCGCGGCCCGGGTGGGGCTCGGGGTTGTAGACGGCACACTCAATCTGAGGGGAGAGAGCAGCCCGTCACCCTGGGCAGGAGGCGGGCTCCGGCCCGAGCCCGAGAGGCCCAGGCCACTGTGACCCGCACGACAGCGGGCGGCGAGGTCCCGGCTCAGAAGCAGACGCCACGTGAGCGCTTCCGTCTTTCGGATCTTACCTTGGACCCAGGACCGCTGGGACGGGTCGCGGCCTGGGTGCCAGGCGGGCTCAGCTCCTGGGTGGAGGTGGGAGGCCCCTGCCCCTCCCCGCCCGCCTCCCCCTGGGGAAGGGTCCCCCTCAGTCCCCAGGCGTGGGTGTCCCAGAGACCAGCGTGAGAAATACGGTCTCCCGTTTCTCAGACACGCGCACGCCTGAGCCCACGCGGGGACGTGAGCAGAACGGCACCAGGAGCACAGCCCACCGGGACTCTGGATGCTGCCATGCGTGGCACAGCGTCCACGGGTGGGATGCACCCGGCTCCACACACACTCCCAGCACCCGGCGCCACGACACGGCGGGCACGGCTTCAGACCAGGGGATCCCACGTGGACCCTGATACTGACCCTAGAGCAGGAGTGACCGCACTGACCAGGGACCCCGCCCTCCAGCACAGGACTCTGCCCGCTGCCCGTCTCTCACTCCCTGAGTGGGGCGGGGACCCCCTTACCCCCCAAGCTGGCGGGGACCCCACGCTGCCGGAAGACCCGCCCGCACCTTGAACTCCTGCTGCTTGGCCACCGTCACCGGCATGTGTCCCAGGAGGAGCGGGTGCCGGTCCTTCTTGACCTGGTTGCCGTCGTCCTCCACGCAGAACCAGCCCACGTGGTTGTCCTCCTCTGTCGCGTTGGGGGAGGGGGGAGAACAGCGTGAGGGGGGTCCCCGCGTGGGGGACGGGGAGCCACTGCCTCATCCCGGAGCGGGACCCCTTTCCTCCAGGGGTGCACCCGCCGCCCCACTTCACATGGGGTCGCAGGTGAGCGATGGGGTGGGGGGCGCCCAGGGAGAGGGGCGTGACCTCCCGCGGGAGCACCTGGGCTGCGTTTTCTTATCTTTGTTCATTTTTTTTTAGCAGCTGAGCTGTTCAGTTCAGAGACAGTGAGAAGGAAGCCTTTCACCCGGAGTGAGGTTTCACCCCCAAAGCCTTCGCGCTCCGGTGAGCACGGATCGCGCCGAGAATAAAGCCGCTTGTTTCAGGCTCACTTCCTGTTTGCGGGTCACCCTGCGCCGGGCTGGGGACCCTCCATGTGCGGGAAGGAGCCACGTCACCGTCCGCACCCACGCAGGCCCACACAGGCCGTCCAGGGTCCCGGCTCCCGGCAGCCGAGCGCGGCCCTCACGGCCACGGCCACGGCCACGGCCACGGCCCTGCTATCCTTTATCTTTAGATAATGGCTTACTATCCGGGTGTGACTGTATCTGACAGAATTCTACACCTGCACCCACCCCCTGCTCTGAGCAGCAGCCGCCTGCCCTGCGTGTGAATCACATAAGAATACACGTCGCTACATCTCAGTCAGTTTCACACACAGGGTGGGCACAGGGCGGCTACTGTTGTCCGCGTGGGAAGCGATGCAGTAACTCATCAACAATAAACGATGCAGTAACTCATCACAAGGATAAACTGTGTTCCGCACTCACAGCAGTAAGCGGCTTGCGCCCCCCGCCCCCGTGGGTGTCCAAGAGGCAAGGCTGCCTGCGGGACGTGGTGAGAGAAGTGCTGGAGAGGCCGTCCCACCTGCCTTCCAGCTCACAGGGGCGGGCGACAGAGCAGCGGCGGAGCCAAGCCCTGGGTCCTGCCGTGGGACCCAGACTGGGCGGGACCCAGCCCCCATGAACCCAGACTGGGCGGGACCCAGCCCCCATGGACCCAGACTGGGCGGGACCCAGCCCCCATGAACCCAGACTGGGCGGGACCCAGCCCCCATGGACCCAGACTGGGCGGGACCCAGCCCCCATGGACCCAGACTGGGCGGGACCCAGCCCCCACGGGACCCAGACTGGGCGGGACCCAGCCCCCACGGGACCCAGGGCCGGGCTCCTGGCTCGGGGCTGGAGCATGGGTGAACAGTCTCAGCTGACATGACCGCTGCGTTAGAGCAGTGAGGACTTTCTCCCTACGCTCCCTCCATCACAGACTCCATCAATGCCTCCTCTGGATGAGCTTCCGCTTAAAAACATGCTTAGGGAGCCCGGCCGGCATGGCTCAGGGGGTGAGCATTGACCTATGAACCAGGAGGTCACAGTTCGATTCCTGGGGTCAAGGGCACAGGCTCAGGTTGTGGGCTCGACCCCCAGTGGGGGCGTGCAGGAGGCAGCCGATCCATGATTCTCTCTCATCATTGATCTCTCTCTCTCTCTCTCTCTCTTCCCACCCCCCTATCTCCTCCTCCCTTCCTCTCTGGAATCAGTAAAAACATATCTTTAAAAAACAAAACAAGCCATTCTCAGGGGGATGAACGGTCATGGTCAGGGTCTCCTCCCCTCCCCCCCACCCCCGACTGTCTCTCAGGCACCTATTTCGTCTGAAGCAGGGAGCTTGGACCTTTGGTCTAGGGGACACGCCTCATCTAGGGACACCCCTCGTCTAGGGATGCACCTTATCTAGGGACGCACCTTATCTAGGGGACATGCCTCGTCTAGGGGACGCGCCTTACCCAGCGCAAGCTTGGCCATCTGCAGGCTGCTGAGCCAGGACTCCTTGCAGGCGGGCGTGAAGGTGCTGAACACGGCCGTGAAGAAGGTGGGCCGCCCGGACCTGCGGGGACAGAGGGGTCAGGTCTCAGGGCCTCAGCGCGGCGGGTCCCGTGCCCGTCCCGCATGGCCCTCCCCGTGCCCATCCCCGGGAGGGCGGGCGGACACTCACTTGTCCTGCTTGCCCGGGAGCTGCAGCTGGAGCCGGCAGCAGTCGGCCGCGCGGATCTCCTCCTCCTTCCGCAGGACCAGCCTCTGCAGCCCGGACGCCCAGTCGTGGGCCACGGCCTGGTTCAGGTTCTAGGCGGACACGCGTGCATCTCACTTTCACTTTTCTTCCTTTATCTTTGTCGATAGTGTGACAGAGGCCCCTTCTGCCCCACTGACCGCTCCAGCCCCACCCCCCGCCCCCCACCCCATCCTCTGTGCCTGTGGGCTGTGCCTATGTGCACACCAGGTCTTTGTTGCTCTCTCCCCACCTAACCCCCTGCCTTTCCTCTGAGATTCTCAGCCTGTTCCATGCATCTCTGGGTATATTCTTAAAATATATTTTTATTGATGACACAGAGGACGGGAGAGGGAGGGAGAGATTGAAACATCAATGATGAGAGAGAATCATTGATTGGCTGCCTCCTGCACACCCCCCACTGAGGATCAAGCCCACAAACCAGACATGTGCCCTTGACCGGAATCGAACCCGGGACCCTTCAGTCCGCAGGCTGACACTCTATCCACTGAGCCACACCAGCCAGGACATGGATGTTTTCTGTTCATCAGTTCATTGGGTTCATTAGACTCCACATATGAGTGAGATCGTGTGATACTGGTCTTTCTCTGACGGGCTTATTCCCCTTCGCTGAGGAGAGGCTGGGGGGGGAAGCTGGTGGGGAGATGCAGCGCATTCTAGTGAGTGAGATGGGACCATGTGAGGGGTTGGGAGGCTGTGGGCAGCAAGGCTGTCACACGGAAACCTGGGGTCCGACAACGAGGAAGAGAGCCTGGGAGGCGGCCGTGTGGTGGTGCTGAGCGTTTCCATGACAACTCACCCCTGGGGTCTGCGAAGGGACGCTGCCCCCCCTCCCCTCCCCCTCACCACAACCTCGTCGGGTACCCCCCGCGAACCCGGGCGGCTCCAGCCGGAGGCAGACAGAGCCCAGGCCGGCGGCCGGGCCTCACCTGGTAGTGCCCCCGCAGGTCCCCGACGAGCTGCGCGATCTGCCCCACCACGTTGAGGTCGTGCAGCAGGTTCTGCAGGTCCTGGTACAGCTGCCCGGGCCCCACGTGGACTCTGTCTGCAAAACACGCACAGGAGGCGGCGGCTGGGCCGCGCCCGCCACTGCCCGGGAGGAAGACGGGGGATGAGTGCCCGCTCGCTTCCAGGTTTAAACAGGAAACACATTCAAGCATTTGGAAATGTTAGCTTTTCTTTTTATTTTGAAACTAGAGGCCCAGTGCATAACGTTTGTGCACTAGGGGGGGGGGGTGTCCCTCAGCCGAGCCTGTGCCCTCTCACAGTCCGGGACCCCTTGGCGGACATCCTTAGCGCTGCCTCGGGGGTGGGAGAGGCTCCTGCCATGCCCGCTGCGCTCCCCAGCCATGAGACTGGCTTATGGCTGAGCGGCGCTCCCCCTGTGGGAGCTCACTGACCACCAGGGGCAGCTCCTGCGTTGAGCGACCAGTAGTTCTGCTGTTTGGTCAATTTGCATATTAGCCTTTTATTATCTGGGATAACTTCAGATTTACAGAGAACTTGCACTCCCCAGGTTAAAACCTCTCAGAACCTCAGCACCTCCGTCACCACGGAAACCATCCCATGGGCCCGGACTGGGGGCACCTGAGCTCAGAGCCGCCCGTGTGCAGACGGCCTCCTCCTGTCCACTCTCCGTGGAAATGCACGGCCGGGGCCCCGGCTCCAGATCCAGGCAGAAAGGAGAGCCTTCAAGGCCAATAAAGTAGCCATTTCCTAGACCCTGTGTCTCCGCAGGTCCAGCTGCAGGGCAGTGACCAGTGCCCAGCCTGGGGCCGGGGAGGCGCCGGGCGCTGGCCCAGTGAGCCCAGCAACTCATCACACACGCGTCCGCCGAGTTTGTCAGTCAGGGAAAGTGTGTGTGATGAGCTAAAAATATTTCACATTAAACATACTGCTTCACTTAAGAAAAAGCAACAATAAAGTTGGCCCAGCTGGTGTGGCCCAGTGGTTGAGCATCCACCTGTGAACCAAACAGTCACATTTCGATTCCCGGTCAGGGCACGTGCCCGGGTTGCAGGCTCGATCCCCAGTGTGGGGTGTGCAGGAGGCAGCCGATCAGTGATTCTCTCTCATCATTGATGTTTCTTTCTGTCGCTCTCTCCCCCCTCTCTCTCTAAAATCAATAAAAATATATATTAAAGAATAAATTTTAAAAATCTACAGCCTGGAGACTATTTATAAATAACCGCGAATATGATGCAACGGCTGAAGCATTTCCAAAGTGTGTGATGCCTTTGTCTCACTTTCCTTTGTGAAGTTCACAGCCCAGGGCCCCCCATGGCCGGGGAGGCGCCAGGCGCTGACCCGCAGCAGAGCCAGCCCCAGACCAGGGCTCGCTGGCCATCGAGTCGGTGCACATGCAGGGCGGGAGCCTGCGTCCTAACTGCCACGGACACGCACACAGAACGGCCCACATGTAGGGGCTGCACGGGGAACCCCACGGGGCCACTGCCCACCCCAGAGACAAGTCCGAGGTCAGCACCCAACCCGGCAGGTCAGCCTGTCCGCTGCCCACGCCAACGACAGTGTCACCCACAAGGTTCCCACATCTCGTGTCCAGGCTGCTCTGCCCACGCCGCCCACGCCGACAGCGAGGTCACTTACGTGGCTTGGCGTTGGCCACCACGGCCAGGCTCTCGGGGGGGTGCTCGGCGGCGCCCTCGGGGTGGCCGTACTCAACGACCGCCACGTGGCCCAGCGGCACGCTCCACTTCAGCAGGTGCCTCTGGCTGGCCGGCAGCAGCGCGTGGCTGTCCGGGCCCGTCCTGCAACGACAACCGCGACCGCGGCGTGAAGGCGCGAGACTTCCCACCCGCAGGTCCCCAGTGGGAGGCCCCGGAGCTGTGCCCCCCCGCCTCCCGCCGAGCCTCTGGTGCTCTCGGGAGCAGGCACCACCTGCTGCATGACGAGGCTTCCCATCAGGTGAGCGGGAGGGCTCCGTCCACGGTCTGCCCCGGAGAGTCCGGGAGCGAGACAGGACAACCTCCCGAGAGGACGGGAGTGAGACAGGACAACCTCCAGAGAGCCCGGGGGAGCGAGACAGGACAACCTCCCGAGAGGACGGGGGAGACAGGACAACCTCCCGAGAGGACGGGGGAGACAGGACAACCTCCCGAGAGGACGGGGGAGACAGGACAACCTCCCGAGAGGACGGGGGAGACAGGACAACCTCCCGAGAGGACGGGGGAGACAGGACAACCTCCCGAGAGGACGGGGGAGACAGGACAACCTCCCGAGAGCCCGGAGAATGCATGGCTGCGCCTGGAGGCCACCGGAGCAGACGCCGAGGGTCCCGCGAGCACTGCCAACGGGAAACTCCTGTGGGGAGCCCTCCTCCCACTGCCTCCCCGGGGCCAACGCTCACGGTCCTTCTTTACTCTCAGGCACAGCGTAACCCTGTTGGTAACATCAAACCACACCACAGACTCCATTTCCAAAGTGTGTGATGCCTTTGTCTCGCTTTCCCTTGTGAAGTTCACAGCCCAGGGCCCTTCATGGCCAGGGAGGCGCTGGGCGCTGGCCCGCAGCAGAGCCAGCCCAGACCAGGGCTCGCTGGCCATCGAGTCGGTACGTATTGAGGCCCTGGCTGGTGGCTAAGTGGTTAGAGCATCGGCCCCGCACCAAAGGGTCGCAGGTTTGATTCCTGGTCAAGGGCATGTGCCTGGCTTGCAGGTTCGAGGCCTGGCCCCAATCAGGACACATGTGAGAGGCAACCAATTGATGTGTCTCCCTCACATCAATGTTTCTCTCTCTCTCTCTCTCTCCCTCCTTTCACTCTAAAAAAAAAAAAGCCCTGACCAGTTTGGCTCAGTGGATAGAGCGTCGGCCTGCGGATTGAAGGGTCCCAGGTTCGATTTCGGTCAAGGGCATGTACCTTGGTTGGGGGCACATCCCCAGTAGGGGTTGTGCAGGAGGCAGCTGATCGATGTTTCTCTCTCATCAATGTTTCTAACTCTCTATCCCTCTCCCTTCCTCTCTGTAAAAAAATCAATAAAATATATTTTTAAAAATAAATAAATAAAATAAAAAATAAAATAAATCAATGGAAAAAATATCCTCAGGTGAGGATTAACAACAACAAAAGAAAAACATTGCATATGTAGAAATTAAATTTTTACAAAATCTCATGACCCACACAGATTATTTCCTTCTTTGTCACACAAGGAGCAAACATGCAGAAAAACACAGAACACACGTACGGTCAGGGGAGAACGCCGGAGAAAGCATGTATGAAAGCGTGTGTATGTGTGCGCGTGTGTGTGTGTGCGTGTGTGTGTGTGTGCGTGCGTGTGTGTGTCTAAGGAGAAATGACCCCCGTCTGCCCTAATTTCTACCAGCACTGCCTCGGCGGCTCCTGGGGATGCCTGGAAGGAAGCGGTTCGTGGGTGGTTCGAAGCGTGTCCCTCCCTCATGGAGGTGGCCGGGAGGGGTGAGAGCCAGCAGGCCACTCGCTCCCGAGCAGGGGCGGCCTTGAGGCGGGCTCCGGCCGGTCCTTACCGGGCGCTGACCGTGACGCACATGAGCACGTCGGTCAGCATGAGCAGCCGCCGCTCCTTCGTCTTGAGGACCTCGCCGCGGTCGTTGTACACGGTCTCGATCACGTCGTCGGACCGGATGAGGTGCCGGCTCCCACTGCTGAGAAGCTGGACATTCACGGTCACGCTCGCCACGGCCGCCACGGTCGCGGTTAAGAAAAGGGAGAGGAGCGAGCGTCCAAGCGGTGCAGGGCAGCGGGGGCTTCAGACCCGTCTTGGGGGAGGGGGGGGGCACCCGTCGCCCTCAGGCCAGCGCTGGGCGCTCAGAGCGCGGCTTTTCACCCTACAGCTCCCTGGACGGGTTCCAGGCCCTCTCACAGCGAGAGGGCCCACATCCCTGCGACACACTCCTGAGGCTGAGACACAGACACGCCGGCCTGGCTCTGGGGCTGAGCATCGACCTAGGAACCAGGAGGTCCCGGTTCGACTCCCGCTCAGGGCACAGGCCCAGGTTGGGGGCTCGATCCCCAGTGTGGGGCGTGCAGGAGGCAGCCGATCCATGATCTCTCTCATCATGATGTTTCTATCTCTTCTCCCTCTCCCTCCTCTCTGAAATCAGTAAAACATATTAAAATGTATTACAATAAAGTACTTAGAGTTAAAATACTGAATGTCACTGTAGGATAGGAAATTAATCCTACTGACAAAAAAACACACCAACCACGTGCTTTGGCAATAATGAATATTGCATGTAATTATTTAACACAGCTCGTACCAATCAACCTCCCCGTGTACAGCTACGCGGCTCAGACCGCTGTCACGGGAAAGTGCTTCTGTAAACGTGAAGCCGGCGCGTCGGCCTGACCGTTGCACGCAGAGTGCAGCCTAGTCCGGGCACGGCTGACACACACACATTAAACTGCACACACAGTGCTTGAGCCACGAGCGTCTAAAATAAAATACTGCCTCTGGCCGCCAGCGTGGCTCAGTGGCTGAGCGCCAACCTATGAACCAGGAGGTCTCGGTTGGAGGTTGGATTCCCAGGCGGTCAGGGCACGTGCCTGGGTTGCGGCTCCATCCCCAGTGTGGGTCGTGCAGAGGGCAGATGATCCATGATTCTCTCTCATCATGGACGTTTCTCTCTCTCCCTCTCCCTTCCTCTCCCTCTGAAATCAATACAAATATCTTTTAAAAATATAAAATAAAATAAAAATAAACTGCACACACAGTGCTTTAACTCTGAGCATCTAAAATCACACCCTGCGTCTGAAAGCAGAATTCAGTGGGAAGAGCGGCTCTTCACCTTTTGGGGTCCTGGGTCCCCTTGAGGGCCCGATGAGCCTGTGCACCCCTTTTCAAGGACGCCCAGACTCTGAAGCTTAGGCAGCCTCCGGTGTCGGGGGCCTGCCGGCTCCCCTCGGCTCCCAGGTCAGCGCCTGCCCGGGAGCTGCCCGGAGGCCCCGGGGGTTAGTAACAGCGGCGGAGACGGCGGTGCGGGTTAGTACGGGAAGCTCAGCGGAGGCGAGAATCTCCGTCCACCTTGTTCAGGTATCTCTCGTTTATGGCTTTCGCTAGCTGCTTCATTTCGCAGCGCTGATCTGCGTCTCGCTTTCTCTCGTTCAATTTCTCTGCTAACGTCTCCAGCTCCGTCAGCGCCATCTGGAGGGGCAGCCGGTCGGGGTGTCCGCGGGGCGTGTTCCTCAGCATGTCCTTTGGGGAAATGAGCAAACAGGGTGTGACTGCCCGTGTGGGGGCCGAGGGCCGTGGTCATCGCAGACGCCCCGCCCAGGGGCCCCATGGCCCACGCTGGCCGCAGAGGGTGACCGTGAGGTCAGCAGCCTCTGGGGAAGAATAAAAGCCCGTCGGGAAGGACGCAAACCAGGTGAGTCACAACATGACGGACGCTTCCACAGCTCCTTCCACAGAAACAAGATTAACTCACTCAACGGCATTGCTCACGGAAAAGGTAGCGTCTTGCCCGGCCGGCGTGGCTCAGTGGCTGAGCGTTGACCTATGAACCAGGAGGTCACGGCTCGATTCCTGGTCAGGGCACAGGCCCCAGTTGTGGGCTCGATCCCCAGTGGGGGTGATGCAGGAGGCAGCTGATCCATGATTCTCTCTCATCATTGATGTTTCTCTCTCTCTCTCTCTCTCTCTCTCTCTCTCTCTCTCTCCCTCCCTCCCTCTCCCTTCCTCTCTGAAATCAATAAAGATATATTTTAACACCCACACACACAAAAACACACTCGGTCCTCGCCCCAGGTCAGGATCCAGGCACGGAGCCCCTAAAACTCCGGGGTTTCTGAGTGACGGGGAGCAGAGCCGCCCAGCGCACCTGAGCTGAGGCCAGTGGTGGCTCCCGCGGCCGTGGCTCCAGGTGGGGCTGGCGGCCAGAGGAAGGAGTGGGGATTGGAGGCTGGACCTCCAGGGAGGGGCCTGAGGGATGAGGCGGTCCCCATTGGCCAGTGAGGCCATTCGTCCGCCTCGACAGTGGAACCGCCACGGGAACCCACAGGCAGGCCTGGAGAGGCTCGGGGTCAGGAGGGTGGTGAGCACCCGGCAGCCCCAGGCCCCTCCCACCCGCCCCTCTCCCCGTGTGTCCATCTGGTGGCCGAGTTACAGCCTTTGTAATAAACCGCCCGCACCAGTGCCTTCCTGAGTTCCGGGAACCCCTCTAGCCCGTTCCTGAACCTGCGGGCACGTGGGGACCCCAGCTTGGTAGCCGAGTGGGACAGAACCGGGACCCGCTATGAACTGGGCGTCTAAAGTGGATCTGAGGGCTGATGCTCGGGGGTCAGTGTCAGCGGAGCCGAACGCAGGACACAGGCTGGTGGGGCCCCCTCGGAGGAGAGGGGCTGAGGCTACAGGGAGGACTGGTTCCAGGGGTCAGCAGGGGTCATGGGGGTGGCCGAGTCACGGTACCTGGAGCAGCAGGATGAACTGCGGGAACCTCTGGATGGGCCTGGTCATCAGGCTGTAGAGCGTGACGCGGTCTGGACTGGACTCCTGGCTCTGCTGCAAAGAGAGGGGTCTCCCTCACCTCGGGCAGCGGGATGTTAAGGCCGTCCACGCCCAGCACGCGGCCTCGGGGCGGAGTTAGGGCCACTCAAGGGCCTGCATCCGTGTCTGCAGACACTTCCTCCACCGCCTGTCCCCCCGCCCCGTCCCTCGGGTCCACCTCTCGGCCCCTGGCCTACAGCGAGCGCGGCTGGCTTCTGAGTCAGAACCTTCAAGCCCTGGCCAGTGTGCTAAGTGGTTAGAGCATCGGCCTGCACACCAAAGGGTCTCAGGTTCAGTTCCTGGTCATGGGCACGTACCTGGTCTGCAGGTTTGATCCCCAGCCCTGGTTAGGATGCGAGGGGGAGGCCACCGATAGATATGTCTCTCTCATCGATGTTCCTCCCTCTCTCTCTCTCTCTCTCTCTCTCTCTCTCTCTCTCCCCCTCCCCCTATCCCTTCCACTCTCTCTAAAAATCAATGTAAAAATATCCTCAGGTGAGGATTAACAACATAATAATAAAATAAATTACAAAAAATAAAAGCTATGTTACCTCTAAAAATTCACCTCTTTCTTTCTCGCATTGACCCAATGCCTAGGGTGCTGTTGGGATAAAAGCCGTTACAGTGAGCGGCATCGGACACTTGGAGGTGAGGGTGCGTAGTTTCCTTACCAAGTATCCCACGTGGAGCCTGTTATCAGAGATGTTCAAACCCAAAATGGAAGAGAAGGCCGCGTACCTTTAAGAACTCCAGGAAGGCGGGCTTTGTGGAGCAGGCCTTCTTGAGGACGGCCACGGCCGCGCTGAAGTTGTTGACGTACTCGCTGTAGGCGTCCAGCACCATGGACTTGGAGAACTGGAATCGGACACGGGACACGTGAGGAACGCAGCGGCCCTGGGCCTCCCAACCTCAATAACCCCCGTCAGGGCCACGCTACGCGGAACAAACTTCACTACCACCGTGTGTGACCTTTTGGGTCGATTTCTGGGGACTCTGTTCTGTTCCGTTGATCTCTATGCCTGTTCTTGTGCCAGGACCAGGCTGTTTCGAGCACAGTGCTTTGTAGTGTAACGTAATATCTGGTATTGGGACCCCTCCCATTTTGCTCAACTTTCTCAAGATGCTGTGGCTATTTGGGGTCTTTTTTGGTTCCATATAAATTTTTGGAGTTTGTTCTAGATCTGAGAAATAGGCCGTTGGTATTTTAGCAGGTATTTCATTGAATCTGTAGATTGCTTTGGGTAGTGTGGACATTTTAATGATGTTGATTCTACCAATCCATGAACATGGTATACTCTTCCACTTGTGTATGTCTTCCTCTATCTCTTTTTTTCAACAGCCTGTAGTTTTCTCAGTACAGGTCTTTTACCTCCTTGGTTAAGTGTATTCCTCAGTATCTTAATATTTTTGGTGCAATGGTAAATGGGATTTAGTTTTTCTTTCTGAGAATTCATTATCGGTGTATAAAAAAGTCACAGATTTATGGGTGTTGATTTTGTTCCTGCTACATTGCCGAATTCATTTATTAAATCTAGTAGGTTTTTTTGGTGGAGTCTTTAGGGTTTTCTATGTACACTATCATGTCGTCTGCGAATAATGAGAGTTTTACTTCCTCCTTTCCAATTTGGATGCCTTTTATTTCTTCTTCTCGTCTGATCGCTGTGGCTAGGACTTCCAGTACGATGTTGAACAAGATGGTGAAAGCGGACATCCCTGTCTTGCTCCTGTTCTGGGGGCACATGGTTTTAGCTTTTGCCCACTGAGTAGGATGTTTTTAAGCAAACGTGTCAGGTGTTGTTTGAACGGCAGGGTGACCTTATCCTGCACTCAGGCCTCCTGGCTCAGAACCATGCAGCCTGGGCTTCCGCAAACGTCCCTGGCTGTCCACGTGCAGAGATGACATCACAGCCGCCCTTCCTTACACTCCAGCTGGCCCGCGGCCCTCGCTGTCTGGTTCCACCTCCAGGACAGGGCAGCCCGCGGGGCAGCACGAGGTCCCGGCTCCTGGAATGCCCTGGGCCGAGGGCCACGCACATAGGTCCTCGGTCCTATTGCCCAAGAAGCACAGAGGCTCCGGAGGCAGAGACAGTGCCTCGCTCTGTGTTTCTCTCCGAGTCCACACGTCCGGCCGCCAGGATGGAAGCCACAGCCTCGGGAACACCTGGTGGGACCATCACGTAGAGAAGGAGCACGCTCACCTTTGTCACGTTTAAAACAAAGAGGACTGTTTCCGCAAGTCAACCCATGAACCAGGAGGTCAGGGTTCAATGCCCGGTCGGGTCAGTCAGGGCACAGGAGCCGGCAGGACGCTCCCACACCAGCACTCACGGGAGGAGCTTCCAGCAGCGGGCGTGCAGGAGGCAGCCCGTCAATGATTCTCTCCCTCTCCCTTCCTCTCGGAAATCAATAAAAACCTATCTTTTTTAAAAGGACTGTTTCCATTCAAAAGTCTGATCCAGGTAAATATTGTAGGAAGGGGCTGGAGAAAAAGTGGAGGCGACGACAGAGGAAATGTCCGATGTTTCTGTTTCCATATCAACGGCCGCAGGGGCTGCACGCAGATCCCCCCCACGAGCTCGGTGCCTCCTGCTGTCCCAGAGGAAGGAGAGGTGTCACATGCGGCCACAGCGCCCACGCAAGTCCACGGGCACGGGCCGTGCAGCTGCGCCCTTTGCCGGCGCCCTTGGTCCACGCCATCCAGCCAGCCCGCCAGCCATCCATCCATCGGCGCCGCTCTGTTCCCCGCAGGCTCCTGCGCCTGAAGGGAAGCTTGTGGGTCCCAAGGCGCCGAAGTCGGGAACGGACCGAGGACAGAGGCTCAAGGCCCAACGCTACCTCGGGCTGCGGCGTCCGGGCAGCTGGCTGAGGGCCGTGCCCAGGAACGGCCGCAGCCTGCACCCCCTCCACCGGCCCCAGGGCTCAGCGTTGGCACTCGGAGCTCCGGGCGGAGCAGGGGCTGAGGGGACAGGCGGGTGTGCTCAGCCAGCTCCCCACGTGCCCAGGAGGGGACGGGCTACAGAGAGGGACGGCCTCACGCAGGCTCCCCGACCCCCGCCCGCACGGTGACGGCACAGCCGGGCTCAGCCTGTCAAACCCCCTGCTGCTGCGTGGAGACTCTTAGACCCCCCGTCCCCGAGCCTCCGCGGACAGTCACCCCTGTCGCCCCGGAGAGGCAGGTGTGGACCATCCTGCGGGCCCTCCCGGGGAGGCAGGCGGCCGACCGTGAGGACAGCACCGTCCCCGCTGGAACAGCAGGGCGGGCCGGGTGGCCGGCACTCACCGAAGCCACGAAGACGTCGCCGATCATCTCCACGGCGTCCCACTCGGCCACGCGGCTGGCCAGCGCCATCTGGAACAGGCGGTGGCACTGCCGCACCTCCCGGAGCCGGTGGAACACCACCCGCAGCTTCCGCTCGCTCAGCACCCGCGGCTCCATCTCCGCCAGCGGCCGCTCGTACTGCTGGGAACCGAGAGAGAGGAAAGGGGATGGGGGAAGCGTGGAGAGAGTGTCGGTTACAGGGATTCCAAAACATGCCACTCCGCGTATTGTTTGTTTATTATTTATTTACTTTTAATCCTCACCCGAGGCTATTTTCCCATTGATTTTTAGGGAGAGTAGACGAAAGAGAGGGAGAGACAGAGAGAAACATCCATGTGAGAGAAACACATCAATAGGTTGCCTCCTGCATGCACCCCGACCAGGGACCAGGCCGGGGAGGAGCCTGCAACCCAGGTACGTGCCCTTGACCGGAATCGAACCCAGAACCCTTTGGACCACAGGCCAGTGCTCTATCCACTGAGCAAACTGGCTGGGGCTCAACTTATTTTTAGATTAAAAAACGTTATTAACGCGTTCCTACAGATGGAACCACGGCAGCAGCCTCCAGCGTTTCGCTATCCAGAGCATTTTGTCGGCGGCTGCGTCAGAGTTAAAGTTAGAGAGGCCTTTGTGAGCAGGTGGACGGCGAGCGACAGTACCTCCAGGATCCGCGTGAGGGCGTCCACGTAGTTCTTCTCGCTGTCGACAATCGAGCCCAGAATGTACCTCCTGACCACC